TGTAGGTTTTTTATGGAAAATAACTGCAGTTCCTTTTCATATGTGGGCACCTGATGTATACGAGGGTTCTCCTACTTTTGTCACAGCTTTCTTTTCTATAACACCTAAGATTGTTGTTCTTGCAAATATGTTACGTGTGTTTCTTTTTAGTTTTTATGATCCAACATGTCAAACCTATTTTAGAAGTAAGAAAAGTCAGAATCTCCGGAACCACCAAAGAGTCGTCAAGAAACCTTAGCTCTTCGGTGGATTCTTGAAGGCGCCTTGTGGAGACGACGTTTGACAAAAAAAAACATAAGTTTAAGAGGTTCAGGGGTTTCCTGGGATTTGCGAAAAGCAGCACCCTGTAATTACAAGTTTAGCTAGTGCAATACCTGTTGTAGGAGACACCATAGTAACTTGGTTATGGGGAGGCTTCTCAGTGGATAACGCAACCTTAGTGTGACCCGTTGACCGTGGTGCGCGGACGTAGAGATGATAGGCATGCACTTGCACGATGGCTCATACATGGTAGACATAGAGGACCCTGTGACCGGCCGGGGAGAGCTCCTCCGACTCCTTGGAACGGGAGGAGACCCCTCGAAGGGGAAATTGGCAACATGGTCGCCGTCGTTCGAGGATAGCACGAGGAAAGGGGCTTTCGCACGGATGGAGGATATGAGAGAAAGGGTAGAAATCATGATTGAGGACGCATTCAACAAGAAAGAGTGGATCAAGATGGGCCTGCCCCAGAAGAAGAGGAGGCAGGAGGACGAAGTCCTAGGTGTTATGATAGCGGAAAAGGAGTCGGAGGTCGAACTTGGTGCTAGCCTGCCCAACCGGAAAGAAGTACGCATAGACGTGCCGGAAATCGCACTCGAGATCCCCGATCTATTGCAACTCATCAAGGCCCTCAGATACCACAAGGTAGGAGTGGATTCGGCAGCCTTGGCCAAATTCGAAAGAGAGGTGCAAAAGGGATATTGCCTGAATGGAAAACTAGTTAGTATTCAACCACGAGTCGTAGAGGCGACGGGGGCAATTCCAACTGTTCATTTTTTAGGAGAAAGATCCCAGAAGGAAGTGTTCGAAAGTACAAGCCGGTAGGGAAGAAAGCAAAACCAATCTCGATCTTGCTAGAAACGTCAAAGGAAGAGGCTATAGAGAAGGAGGAAGAGGTCCTTCGAGTAATCCGAGAAAGAAGGAAGTGCTAAATCAAAAATTTCCACGCTAATTTAAAAAATTTCAGTTTATCAAGAGGTTTTCAGTTTATGATGATAATTTTTATATCAAGATAAACTGAAAAGTTTTTTTTGCCTGAAAGTTCGAAAACAATCTTGAAAATTCAAACATAACATTTCAATTTAATATTAAATTGAAATGAAATGTATTGCCTAAAATTAACCTGAAATTTTATCTTTCAGTTTAGCATAACTCGAAAGTGTAACTGAAATGTTTTCATAGAATTTGATTTGAATAAAATTAAACTAAAAAGTTGGCTCTTGCTGGATAATTAAACTGGAAGGTGGTTTATTGCCACAAAATTGAACTGAAATGCAATTTATGGATGAATCTATGGAAGGAAACTTAAACTGAAAGTTTATCCTTAGGGAAAAAATAAACTGAACTTGTTTTGTTTGCTTGAAATTAAACTGAAAGTTTATCTTTCAAGAAACCATGAACTGAATATGTTGTGTTTGAAAGACATTACACTTAAGATTCTCTGTCGTTTTCTATCGTTACGTGTCACAAGGGTGCTTAACCTATAAAGTTCTCAGTCTGGTTGGCATGAACACTAGAAATCTACTTTGCCTTGTATCACTTGGATCAAGATCCCACCCTACTAGGGAGCACTGCAACAGTCGGTGTCTACTACATTACCCTCATATAAGCAGTGTTTGTCAGTGACACCCTCCAAATAATCCAAGTCACTGAGGCAGACCACCAACCAATTTTATAGACACCGTGATAGAAATAATAAACTCGTGGGTTGTCTGCACCTGGCCCGAATGACCTACTTAGAAAAACTTCGGGCAATGCCTTAGCAACTTGAAGGTCCAAAACAACCAAGAGAGGAAAGAAAAACTCAACCCCTTTTGGGCCCTTGCAACCGAAGGTAAACTTGCATACACTTTTCGACTAACAGTCATACAAAACTTCGTTATTATTTAAAAAAAAAAAAATAAATAAATAAATAAATAAATAAATAAAAAATCTCACACCCTTCTGAGTCTTTTTCAACCCCTTCAAACCCCATCTATATGCCTTATAGATCCTCAAACTCTTACGGGTGCGCGAGTCCTATTTCATATGGTCTTGTGACACTACCCGCTGGGCCTGCCCAAATATTGATTATGCTTACAGACTGGCCTAGGAAATGATTGGTTGTATCCAGGCCACCTGATAAACCTAAATGGAAGCCCT